AAAGCATATTTTAATGTTCAGACTTAATGCTGGTCAGCCCAGACACGCTATCACCTCTACTGGTGGTTTTGCAAATAACTTGCTTTTCCCTTTGCTTGCAAAGGATCTCTTTCAATTGCAAAAATACTTTCTGGTTTTTTTAGATCTTGGATCCAAGACAACACCTTTTTTAGCTTTGATTTATAAAGAGGCAAAGTGATTTACTGGAAAGAGGGCTGGAATTAAAGTCTGGAGACCTTGGGCCAGGACCCAGCTCTGTACCCATGAGGTCTTGAACCAGTCAATACAGCTATGAGCCTTCATTTCTTTTTCATCACAGGGTGTTAGATCTGGAGGGGCCTTAGAGGTAACCCCTGCCTGCCTATCCTAAAACGTTTTGAGAATAAAAATGATAGTAAAAATTACAGACTAATCAAAATTGCTGTACAAATGGAAAGTATCATTATCACTATGCAATGGCTCAGAGAGGAAGTTTTTCCCTGGTAAAAGTCAGCAGTGTTCCCGGTCATCTTTCACCAAGGGGAATTTGCATTGCGAAAATTAATCATGAGACCAAACCCCTGAGCGTGGCTTGCAACACATAATGAAAACAACATAAAAGCAAGTCAAGGATACAGAAGGATAAAGCTTCTCCATAGGGAGCAAGTATTTTGTCGATTTATCTCAATATATCAGAGTGTCCACACTTCCAGAACACACTCCCTCTCCCCACTCAACCACATTCTCACAGGTACATTCATACTTACGGGTTCATATACTTGTAACCACACACTCCTAGAGAATATTCATATGCCAATGTGGTTGTCTATGCATGGATAAAATTCTCATACAGCCTTGGGACCTAATTCCTAAAATTGTTATGGTAGTAAAGCAAACAGTTCTGTTTCAATTGCAAGAACTGCACTGCATCTATGACCTCCCCCTGTGCCAGTCCTTGTAGCTGTAACACCCCCCCTCCCCCAGCTCATTCCCTTGACTCTTCCCCAGAAGGCACTGTCGAGGCTCTGGGGTCAGGCTGACCTGTGTTCTAATCCTGGCTCAGCTTTTGCTAGTTATGTGGCCTCTGCACATCACAGAGCTTTTCTGAATCGTAAATTCCTCCTTATCTGTTACATGGGACTAAAAATATGGAAACCTACACAGACATGAGGACAGAGATATCTGTGAAGAGCCTCACTCAGTTGTAGGTGCTCTGATTAATATTAGCCCTAGGCCCTGGTCACTCCCTTCCCCACAAGATCGCTGCCTTACACCTGGCAGGTTTCTCTGCCTTCAGCCCCTCTCCATCCAGGCTGTCCTGCACTTTGAATCAGTATTTCCAAGCTGGAAGGGACCAGACACAATATTCCAAAGCATCACCTTCATTGTGTCACCTGCCCCATCCCAAACTTCCCAAGGTTTTCGCTGCCCATCAGATCCACGGAGAGCCCCCTGAATCACTTGGCAAGACCCATGCCCTCCTCCCTGGCCACCTGCCACTCCACCTCATCTTTCTCTTCCTCACCATGCCCCCCTCCACTCACACACACCAGGCAGTCATTGCCCTGTCCCATGAGCATATTCATGTCATGTTTACCCCCTCATGCAATGTTCTCCATGGGGCTTGGAGAAGACTTTCAGTGACACAAAGAGGCCCCCTTCTGTAGAAAATTTTCTTCATTACTGATTTCTGTGTTACAGCATGCTGCAAACGGGCAGAATCGCACAGGGAGGGGAGGGGTGCTCTAGGGCTTCAGGTTAGACATTTTTCCCCAAGTCAGCAAATCTCTGGTTCCTGGTGCCCTAATGCCTGCAGGGCACCTGCCCCTTCTACCACCCCACCCCACCTTCACCATATCTCACTGCGAGGACAGAGCTGGGAGGAGCTGCAGGAGCCAAAGACGTGCTTCTGCATTGCGGCTCTGGGCTTCACGAGACAAAGAGAGAGATTGCCACCTATTGACAGATGTGCCGCCTACAAAGAGGAATGCTTGTGTATGTAGCATTTCTCTGTGGTCTTCAAACAGGATAACCCGGTTGTTAGGCACTTGGGTTTTTTTTCCATTCAGACAGTCCTGCTCTCAGTATTATCATTCCAGCATAAGGAAGGATGGGTGGGGACTTGACAGCCCAAGGTGATAACGGCATCTCAGGGGGTAAATTGTCTGAAAATCAGTTGCCCACTGTAATAATGGCCACTTTCTGTTGTGTGGCACACCCTCTGTTGCATGCAGTCCATCTCATGTAACTCTCACGCAGACCGTGCAGGGATCAGTGTTCCTATTTTACACACTAGAAAACTGAGGTTTAAAGTGAGTACCCTGCCCACATGGCAAGGAAGAAGCAGAGGTGGGAGGTGAGAGTCAAGTCTAACTGTCTGTCATACTCTTAAGTACTTTCTCCCAACAGTTGCTAATTATGCAAGTCAAATCCCTGTCATAATCTCCTTAACCCTCAATCTTCTATGTATGAAAATAAGTCAAGTATAAAAGAATACTTTCCCCTTTGGTCAGGCAGAGTCTCAGCTCTGCTGCTTTCTGCTAAGTAACCTCTTAGGCTCAGTTCCCTTGTCTGTAGAAACGGGAGATGGCTCTGATGTCTCATTTCTGGTTGTCCTTGAGCTTAAGCGCGTGTATAATGAAAACCACTTTGCAGGGTTCCAGGTATTTATAAACAGGAGCTTAATCATCTATTGTCTGAAGATCTGGGGAATCCTAGCCCCTCACTTTTAGCCGTGGGACCTTGGACAGTTCACTTGACCTTCGCATCTTCGGTTTCCTCATCTATAAAAAGGGGTTAATAATATGCATGTTTTTGCAGGGTTGTCCGAAGTAAGATGAAACTGTGTGTGTGAAAACACTTTGTAAATGTTAATAGTGCCGTTCAAACATTAGTCCCTATATTTTAAGTAAAGAGTATCTGTTCCTTCAAATGAATTTTTGAGAATTGTTTCTGAAAAATGACTTGGGTTGAATTCGACCTACAAATAAAATCTTTTACTTTTAATACTCAGTAAAAACAAACGTTAACTGAAAAAGAAGTTCTGTAAATGCCATAGGTTATTCTGCAGGGAACTCTATAAACGTTAACATGAATAACACTTCACAGGCGGCTTGCTTATAGTTTATGACCCAATTCCAAAGACATTATCTCATTTCACCTTCACAAGGCAGGGCTGATATTTACTCACATTTTACAGATGAGGAAACCAAGGCTCAGAGAATTAAAGTGATTAATTATAGACACACAGCTAATAAGTAGTAAAGGTTTGTGGGTATCTGTCCATGGGGCTGTGTGTTGGTGTGTCTCTGAGGGTAGGCATTCTGAGCATGATTTTTTAATGCATTAGTGTATCTTTTACTCATGTGATACATTCACGAGGGGTATATATTTGCCTGTATTCCTCAGTTAGCATGTGCTTTCATGAAGGGAAGAGGAGAAGATAGTCTTATCTGAGATTTTTTTTTACACTGGCCAGCAATAGCCTTTTTCTCTTCATTTTTAGAACAGCTTACCATTCCCAGGCACGGTTTCCAAGAGAGCCCTGCCTGGAGAATATGCTCAATTTTTATCTCCACTCCTGATTTAGGAAACAACAGCTCTCTAGTACCCCTGTCCTCTGGGAATTACTTCCTCTCTTATTTGCTGCCTGCCAGCTTTATTGAATTCCCCTTAGCAACATCCAAAAAAGAATGGGTTTAGCAACAGCCTGTGAACCAATGAAATGTGAGCATGGCAAGGGTTTCTAGACCAATGGGAGCCCTGCATGAAGGGCAGGCTGGCTCAGAGAGAAAATAATAACCTGGAGTTTGCAAAGCAGCCTCCAGGTGGCAGCAGACCAGCTATATTGGACACAGCCCCTCAGCTCAGCTCTCAACATCTACTTTGGTTTTTGGGGTTTTTTTCCCCAACTGTAAGAATTTTACAGTTACAAGCTCTGTGGGTGTGAGTTGTCTGCATGACGTAGTAAACATGGCCAGAAGGATGGAATCTAAGATAGCCCGCCCTGTGACCCCATCCCAGCCCCAACCATCTCTGTTGGTTCTGTCACAGCAGTGACAGTGACAGTGCTACCCCAGTTGGCAGGAGCCTGGAGGCCATGGTGACTGCCTGCCCAGCCAGTTAGGAAAAGGGCTAGAGGAATCACATTCTCCTTCATTCAACCACCACTACTGCAGGCCAGAGTGGCAGATGAGGTGGGGCTGGCTTTCTGCCGCCAATGAACGAGGGAAGGACTGTGTCACTGACAGATTAGTGCCCATAAACACCCACATTCTCAGTGGCATAGACTGGGACCATTCCCTGCCTTGCCAGTTCTGCCGCATAAATCTGAACACGAATGTCTGACCGCAAGTGGTTTCAAAACAGTTCTATCTGTCAGGTGCTTTGGCCCCCTTGGTCTTGGAGCCAAGGGCAGATATGGACAGGGGCTGAATAAGACCATGTCAAATAATAGCAGATTCATGTTTCCGATGGTTTAGCCATCTTTCTTTTGCCTTTTAAGATGAAATAGTGCCTTGAATACTACTTGGTGAGATTTTGTCCGTTTCTGCCTGGCTCACCCTTCTCATCCTTTGAGATTCAGTTAAGGCATCCTACCTTTAGGAAGTCTCATTTGATTTCATCCTCCAGCTCCACGGTACTCCTGTCATCACACTTCCATATTGCTTTCTAAACATCTCTTCACTGTGTTTCCTCAGAGAGTCTTGGAGCTCCTTGAGGACTGGGACCGTGTCTTTCTGTCTCCAGTCCTTAGCCAAGAGTTGGCATTTAATGGGTGCTCAATAAACATTTTTAGAAGAAGGGAAGCATGCAGGAAAGAAGCTCTTGCTCTTGAAGAAACAAACTTAGGGACCGCTAGGTAGTGGGCCTAAGCAGGAGCAGTGCTGGCCGTCGGGGACAGCTTCTGGCTGTTCAGGACCCTTCAAGACATAAGCCACATCTCCAGAACACCACCGTTGGCTCATCTGGAGATGGGCTCATCTCAGTGACAAGGTTTCCTTTATGATTTTGTGTTTTAGGAAGAACTAAGGAGCAAATCCAAGATCTGTGCCAATGTGTTTTGTGGAGCCGGCCGGGAATGTGCAGTCACAGAGAAGGGAGAGCCCACCTGCCTGTGCATCGAGGTAAGTCCTGAAGTCACAAGCCAGAGGACAGTGGCCGAGGCCAGTATGGTTACCTTGCTGGAGCTACCAGTCAGCAGAGCAGAGCCAACGATTTCATCATCTTTATAAAAGCACACCTTGTCTATCTAAAAGAAGTAAAATTTTTATCTCAGAAATGAAAAATCAGATGTGAATATAAGGATATTTTTCCTTTAAAATTTGTTTTTCTTTAGATGAGACTGGCAAGGGCTTGATTTCCAGAATATATAAATAGCTCATATGACTTAATAAGAAAAAAAACCAACCCAATCCAAAAATGGGCAGAAGACCTAATTAAGGAATTCTCCAATGAAGACATACGCATGACCAATAGGCACATGAAAAAATGCTCAATATCACTAATTATCAGAGAAATGCAAATCAAAACTACAATGAGGTATCATCTCACACCAGACAGTATGGCCATCATTCAAAAATCCACAAATGATAAATGCTGGAGAGGCTGTGGAGAAAAGGGAACCCTCCTACACTGTTGGTGGGAATGCAGTTTGGTGCAGCCATCATGGAAAACAGTTTGGAGGTTCCTCAAAAGACTAAAAATAGACTTACCATATGACCTAGCAATCCCACTCCTGGGCATATATCCAGAGGGAATCTTAATTCAAAAAGACACCTGCACCCCAGTGTTCATAGCAGCACTATTTACAATAGCCAAGACATGGAAACAACCTAAATGTCCATCGACAGATGACTGGATAAAGAAGTTGTGTTATATTTATACAACGAAATACTACTCAGCCATAAAAAATGATAAAATAATGCCATTTGCAGCAACATGGATGGCCCTGGAGAATGTCATTCTAAGTGATATGAGCCAGAAAGAAAAGGAAAAATACTGTATGGTATCACTCATATGTGG